GAATCGCCCATCTGCAGCAGAGAGGCCCAGGACTTCCTGCTCTTCTGCCTGAGCGGAGAGAGGGAAGTGGACCTCCCTGCCAAGGTGCTCGCAGGCAGCAACACAGTTCCTGGGAGCAGAGGTTGTTAAAGGCACCTTACCGAGCTACAGCAGGTGCCACTTGTCCTTTCCTTGAGAGCTGGATCTGCCAGACCACTGCCTTCCTGTGGCTGTATCACCTCACCTTTGTTACCTGCTTGGGTTGTAGCTGACACCTAGATCAGTGTGTTTGCTTTAGATCCTGGGGTTCTGATCTGCCTGTCTGTCTTTCAATACAATGTCTATCAATCACAGTGGTTTCCTAATCTTAAGGACTTACTACAGCTAAGTTCAGAAAATACTAGAAAATTAACTGTAGCAAGATTTCAAGACCAACATTCCAGATCCATTCCTGAACACTAATAAAAACAACCAAAACCTCTTACGTTTTATCAGCCAGTCTGGGAGATGTCTGTGTTGCCAAGCAACACTAAGCCACGATTCCTGAGTATAACAAAAAGAATCACTGACTGCGTGTTGTGCTTCTTGTTTTAGACAGCACAAATATTGAAAGTGAAGTATGTTTTCAAAGAATGAGTTGCAACTTAAGACAAAGTGTACACTGATTTTGTTAAATATAGTTTATGTCTATTACCTGAAACTTCTAGGCTATTGTGTGGCGATTTAGTTCTTACACTCTTACTGTTGAATACAAGTTTTAAATTACAGAACAGCTAAAGAAAGGAATTCTTATGGTTTGTCTTTTTCAGATGCATTCAATATAAAGACTAGAAAGTGAAAGGCCTTTAGAAGATGATTTGAAGAAAAACTTCTGTTAAAGCTCTCACTATAACACTTGTGTTTGAGTGTTCCACTTGTTACCCTGTGGCACAGCCAACCCCCCCTGTGGTCATTGAATATTTTAGTACTTTTTTTCCATAGCAGTTCTATAGTACTTGCTGTTCTGATCAAATACCCATTTGATACTTCTCTTCACGTGCCAGAGCAGGTTGTTGTTCTCACTGGGTAACAGTACCTTGCCATGCCCCCTGCTCAGGGGCCAGACTGAAAGGGAGGCAATGTGCGGTTGGGGGAGCGAGTAGTGCAGCTCTGGGCAGGCACGGGCAGGATGGCAGGAAGTGAATTGCCTGGCTCGTGGAGACCTTGTTGTTCTCCTTAGTTCAGGAACAGCTGGCAGTTAACACTTGCTCCGCTGAACCAGTCCAGTGCAACTCCAGGACTGCCTTTCAGAGAAGCAGGCTAGCAAACATTGAGAACTTGCTAGTAGATGAGGAATTTATTGAAGAGCCTGTTTCCAAGGAAGGAAGAACCAGCCCAACTGGCTGCGGCTACAAATTCAGGAATCTCTTGAGGTTGGTCTTCACTGATCTGAGCTTCTGAGTACTGGTTTTCTGAAGTGGAATTTTGAGAAGAGGCTTTTGTTGCCCACACAAAAGGAAAATACAAAATACATGGAGGAAGTAAAGATTCTACAACTGTAGAAGAGCAGTTTTTGTAGAGCCTCTCTCCAACTGTCTTTGTCTAGGACCCCAGATTCCTTAAGTTGGCTGTACCCAGCTTTCCTTACTGTGTGCCCCTCCGGGACTGACTTTCAGCAGAGTTTCTCCATTTCTTACGGATTGCTAAGAAGAGAGCAGGTGTTCATTTCACAGCTCCTTAGCTAACTGCCTGGAAATCAGTCCCTAATTTAAGGTAGTCCTTAAGACTCCAGAATCAATGGCATGTGTCTTTTCAGATGCCTATTAATTCTGGCTGTCTTCAACACTTCTACATTTTCACTCTAAACCAGCTCTGTCTCATAACTGATAGTAGGAGTGTGAAAAATCCTGGACAGCTGAATGTTGCCTGGCTCCCAGCAGGTGAAGATAAACCCTGCCCTATATAACCACTCATCTGCACCAACATCCTGTGCTCCCACTGACTGTACAATTTAATAGTGTGCTATGTGTCTTTGTTTAGATAGAACTGGCTATAAAGTGATGGGGGTTTGCCCCTTGCTTGTTTTATATACAGCAGTAAAAAACTTTTGCCAACTTCATTATATTCCTGGGTTTACTCATGTAATTTCCTCCAAAATGCAAGATACTTCACATCTTTCATCATCGCTATCACTCTGTGTACTTTTTTATGGTTTTGCTACATCACTGCTGAGATGGAGGAGTGCTCCATTTCTTCCCAGTAAAAATACATACACAGACAGTGCTTCCATGAGGATTGTTGCCTGAATTTTAGAAGATTTAAAATGTAATTTAAAAATAAAGCTAAAGTAGGTAATGTTCTCCAGAAGTATGAATGCTTTCAATGGAACAGGGTGAAGATAACTAATCCTTATAAATTACATAGATATCAAGCTTATTCAGTATAATTTTAGATGTCTGATTAGCAGATCATTTACTCCCAAGTCATTCACCTTCTATCTACTAGTGCAAATAAATAACCTAATTTGAAGGGCCCCCCTATCATTTTTTGCATGCAAGAGGAAAAGTGGTAAAGATTACAGGGAAAAAGAACAGTGCTCAGATGAAATCCTGCAGCATCTTCAGGCCTGACAGATTGCTTGTGTGAACAGTGCCACAGAATACTAATAAAAAAATTATTGTGATTTGTCTGTTCTGCACCACAAGAAAAGGCAAATAACTTCTTAAAAACCTTTCAGTTACAGACTTCCCCACAAAAGTATACCTACTGGAATAACTTTTCCCAGACAACAGAATGATTTGGTTTTCCAGCATTATGAGACTATCAAACAAATTCTGTCTTATGTAGGTGACAGTTGTAGTGGTCTTCTCTCTATAGCTGACCTTGCAGTCACTCGCATAAATCTCAATTTCAGTACCTGTTTTTGGTTAAGGACATAGCAGTAACGTGCATCTTCTTCAGGTAGGGCCAATTTAGAGAAACAGTGAAGTATAGGCTCAGTATACACCATAAACGTTCCCTTTTATGGAAATTACTTTCCATGGTAATTTCTCCCTGATAGATGCTACAGAACACACCGTTATGATGGACTTCCTGTAGGGAACTGTGATCATTTAACAGTGAAAAGACATTTGGTAACACTTTTGTAGATGCTACTAACACCTACCTAACTTGGTCTCACTACTCTGTTCTTCATAAAGGACAATATTAGGAGAATAAGTTATGTTATATTTCTAGGCCTTACAAACATCTGGTGGATTAAATAATTTTCTTCCCTTCCACTCTCTGCAGCTGACTTCAGAACTTACCGACACAAAAGCTTCTGATTTTGTCTCATTCAGCTGCAGTGTCAGTTTATTTTGAGTATCATAGACTCCATATAGTCTCTTAGACCAACTTGGTGGTATTTTATTCTTGTATCTTAATGAGCTGTACAGGGCAAATATCCTTTGTAAATCCAGGACCAGACAGCTACAGTTGTATACAATGACGCCAAGTTCCTTCATCTGTGAAATTGAAAGTTCATATTGTTAGTGAAGTTTTGGCTGATGGATCTGTGGAATTAGGCAGCAGAAACATAAGAGTATCTGAGAGGTACCTTCCAGAAGTGCTGAGCCTTGAGCTCAGCAGCAGTACTGTCAACTACAAGAATATTCCTAATGACAGTCTTTTAAAGGCAAACACATAAGCTAAATCTTCAAAGTCAAGAGTGGGCAAAAACTGTAACATTCAGTGTATGTGAGAGCTGCATGTCCTGACAGAATAAAACACAATGTTAAGTCCATGTGTTATTTCTCTCGTGGTGGAGGAGTATGATCCTCCAGCTTCAAATAAAAGGATGAAAAAACAGGTGTTTAATACTATCAGTTGCTAAATTACTGTGCTATTAAATATAGCATGATCCAGTAAATAGTGTACCCAGTTAGGGTACACTAATGGTACACCAATTAGGACACAAAAAGGTTCTTAACTCCCTCATTTCGATGGAATGGAATTGCTATCTCACCTAGGGTACTCCAAATTTCTGGGTGTCAGTCTCTTCACATGTGAAAATGGAGATAATAATATTCTTCTCTCATGAAAAGTACTCTGTAACCATCAACATTCTCACATATAAAGTATGAGGAAAAACAGCCCAAGTAAATACAGACATAGTACAATTAAATGCTTTAGCCTTCTATGGACAAAGTCTCAATTCTCCATTTAAGTAAAGGCATGTGTCCTGGTCGTCATAAATCTTGTGCTGGCAAAGATTTCATTAGTTGCACATCCCTAGTACTTAAGTTGTTGACAGAATTTAATTTATAAACATACTGTCTGGTTTCTGTAATCATGGTGTAACCACACACATGCTCTCCCTTCCTTTGCTTTATAGTAGCTCAGGAAGGCACTGCTGTGGGCACAGATGCTACTGACCTCTTGTTATCTGCATTTAACACTAGTTCTGCCATGTCCAAAAATAAAGTGAGAAGAAAATCTGCATGCATCTGGTGGAAAACAGTATGTGGGATAACTATGTAAAGGTTCTGTGCTGGTTTCCTGCAAGCAGGCTCTCTTTGTAGCATGTCTCAGAAGTCTGCCTGGCACGTTGAGAAAAGTAAGGGGAGTACAAACTCTCCGGCACGTTCATCCTTTGACACCACAAAAGTCCTGACTGGTTATATTCCCTTAGATGAGATCTCCGCAGTCACATGGATTAGTTTCTGGTGGAGCATATCTTTCTGTAAAGTCTGTGCAAACTCAACCCCACTAGTGTTATCTCTGAGCTTATTCCTGTGCAATTCTCCCTGACTGCAGATGAGAACTGCTCTGCAAGAGTGGGCAGAGCGAAGGACAGAATTGAACCTTCACTCTCTTTCTATGGTGGGTGAGAGGAAACAACAAATCCCAATACTTCAGTGAGAAAGAAACTTGATGGGTTACCTCTTCTTCAGGTCGCCCACCTGGAAATACCACGTATTAGGTACCATATATACCATATATAAGAATACACAACACTGAGTGATCTCACTCCCAGATGTTTACTGCGTAGTGGAAACTATTAGGTACATTACCTAATACTCTTACTGTCTAAATCAGAATATTTCTGCAAGCATAATTCAGAAAAAAAGTATGGAATTCCTCCATTAGCTTGCATAACCTGAAATTTGTGGATACTTGGAAAAATACAGACTACTTGCTGCACTGCAGCCTTTCATTTATGGATAAGCCAGTAAATTAATTTTGATGATAAAAATGAATGACTCCAAACTATGGCCAACATCCTAGTCAAACAATCTATTTGGAATATGCTGGTATCTTTGAGGACACTCCTGTATTCAGTTCTAGGCTGTCCCTGCACTCTATGCAGTGTTTGTCTCCAAACATTCTTAACTATACATTATCACTGTTTTCACTGTGTGCTGCCAATACTGCTCTCTTAATTGCCAGGCATGCCATAGCAAAGGACTTACTAATAGTATTCTGTTATATCTATCTGCATAATGCGGGTTCATCCTCTTTCCATGGCTGTTAGTTGATTCTGACATAATTATGTGGTTACAGTTTTCCTTTCATTTATCAGTCCCATTATTACTATTCCACTTTATCCTTTCCATTAAAAGTGGAGATAAAATAGTGTCCTGATAGCATGCCAAAAGCTGCCAGGATTGCGTCTGTGTGAGCAGCTCTCCTCAGAGCAAGAGTGCTTGAAGTGTGTCATCTCCCTGTGAATTCAGGGGTTGCCCTTCTGCCTAAGTGCTTCCTCATATACAGAGAGTGGGAGGAAGCTGGGGGCACTAATGGTTTTTTTTAAGAGCAGTTTTTACAGATCACCAGCTAGCCTGACTGTAAAACAAAGCACTGGCCGTGCCTTTCCGACAGCCTCTCCCATGAACAGAAGCACACGGGGACCAGCCTGTTCTGCACAGGATCTTGACCCTCCTTTGGGAATGGGTGTCTGCAGGAGCCAAGGTAGTGCCCTGGCCGAGGTTACATTCAAATTGCAGACTGGAATGAAGCCATTTCAAAAGATGTATTTACAGCACAGTGATGAACCCTGCATTGTGTCTTGCAGTTGGCTTCTCAGGCAGCAAGCACTGATCAAAGCTTTTTCTGCTTCTGAAGCCATGATAAGAGCTCTCCCCCAGGTGGATTCCCTGGTACACGATACAGACTGGGCTCTTCCTTTCCCGCTCTGGGAAAACACAGTTAACCTCTTTACCCAGCTGCCTGTTTTCATTAAGCTTTTATGTACTTCAAATTTGACTGAACCTGAAAAATAGATTAAAAGTTTTTGGACAAGGGCAGACAGCAATTCCAATGCTTATCATGCAGACCTTATTTTCTCAGGAAACTAGTTGGTCACCTCATGACCATCTTGGTTTACGTGTATTACATGACCTTGAAATTAAAACAATACAGAGTGCACATGTGTGTGCAGTAAACCCCCAGCCATCTCCTTTCTTATAGAACAGGCCCAATAGGGAGACCAAAAATATATTGTTTCAGAAGCATCTTCCACACTGAGCCTATTTTTATTCCCATTCTCTGAGGTGAGAATAGACTGCTCTTTTTCCAGGTAATCACAAAGCCTATCATCCTAGATGCACGGTGGAGAAGGGGCAGCAAGGGTGTGCTAGCAACAGATTCAGTATGAAGTGGTATGTCATTGAGATAAGGGCAAAGACTTTATCTTTGGTATGAGAGCTGCTGTTATTACACACTTTTTTTTTTTTTTTTAGTCTCAGAGGAGAAGTAAAAAAACCCACATTTATACTGAAAGAATCAAAACATGAGTGTTGCTCCCTGGCTGTAGTGCCTGAAATCTGCAGCTAAGCATCATCTGAGGTATCTGTTAAGGGAAGATCTTTCAGGGTAAGGGCTCTTAAGGCAAGGGAAGTATTTCTTCATCCTGAGTTTTAGAAGCAACTCAGACACTAATGAAAACATCACTGAAAAATTAAAGTGAAGATGTCAAGAAATCAAAACCTTAATAAAACTAAGGAAGATAAATCTGAAATGAAAATAGAGAGTCACAAATTTGATTACTTTTAAATGGAACTGAAATGTTTGGATGTTAAAGTTGCAATGCTGGTTGTGAGTGACGTTTTCAGGCCATGGGCTGGGGGCTGGGGACGGGAATGCTTTTCTGGTTAGAGAATTTTGTGTCCTGTCATGAGCAGGTTTCTTTTCCTTTTGTTAAGAACCACCATGAGTCCTCAAGGAATAAAAAATGTGGAAGCTGGTTTTCCTTGTTCTTCCCATGCTATTTACATTCATTCAGAGCAACTCTTAAAGGCTACCAAGTCACTGTTTGTCTTTCTCGTCAGTATGGGTTCTCTTAAAGCACCAGAGAAGTGAATGACTACACAAGACTCAAGAAATGGTGGCTTAAACCCACTGCAAAAATAATGCTCTGACTGCAGAAGTCAGTTAAGCTACAGAAAGTAATAAATACGGCCTAGCTAAAAAAGATAGTGATTTTTATGACAAAGGAGGGATTCCTTACTAGGCCGGACAAAGAGTAGGATTTCAGAAAATTTTGCTTATTCTTTTCCCTTGTACATTTGTAGGCATCATATATTAAATGAAAAAAACATATGAAAAGAACCTCAACAATACAAGTTCTGGACCGATAGTGCTCTACGCTTCCTAGCAAGAAGCAACACCTTTTAAATACATTTGGGTCATGGGTTAGACAGGGTGTACGATGTGTCCTTATCCTGCACTGTGCAGACGAGACAGTGCTTTTGAAACTTACCACTCTAAGAGACAATCCCACTGTGTAGGCAAGGTGCTGTTTGACCTACATAAGGGTGGCACAATCTGGTTCATAGCCTGCAGTATCTGAATTGCAGCATACATAGCAGGAGGCTTAGAAAACTCCTCAGGTTCTTTCAAATCATAAGTTTTTAGTGATTGCTCACAGTCAAGCCTGATTCTGAAAATGGCAGGCAGCTCTCCTTGGGCATAAACTACCATTTGCCCAAAAGCTCTGGCCACCAGCAGGTGCTGGGCATCCATCGCCTGTGCTACAGAAACTCAAAATTAACTACAAGTGGTCTATTGCACGCTAAATTCACTAAGTTTCTTGTGCATCTGCCATTTTCCGGTGATTGAAAATGTATTCATTTTGCTTTCAAGCCTGTGATTTTTTTAATTTCCAAATGAATGACAGCAAAACCAGAATCATATCAGGGTAGAGTAATGGAGTAACAAAAAGCATCCTATACTGGTATCAATTACTAAGGTCTAAAAGGACCTAAGATTTTCAATAGCTTCAAAAGAAAAGTCATATACAATGTATTCATTACTACCTTAAAGCAGACCACAGTTACAGTGACAAGCTCATCTCTTCGCAAAATATGCTCTATGGGGTTAGCCTGCACTCCAAACATACGTCCTTTTGCCGTTGGTTATCAGTCTTACCTGACCTCTACTGCAAACACCCATTATGCTTTCATATGGCAGCATTTAATGCTCAGTGAATCTTTTCCAATGATACGTACTGTGATCATAAGGCTGC